AAAGGAACTGCAACGAGTGGTGGTTTGGATAGATAAACAAAAGAGATTTCGCGAGCACATCCTGCAAAACACAATACATGTCATTCTGATAGGATGGAAGAATAACATTGATGAGATACCAGAAGGCTTCGAAATTATCAGCCGGATCCCGAAAGGCGCTCAGATAGCATACGCAGCAAACTTTTGGAGAACAGGGAATCGTTGCCTGATGAAAACGTTAGAGGAGCTATGGATACTCGTCAAGCACACATTCCCAACATACCTCAGAGCTCAGCTTCATGACAACATCCTCCCAACGTATGAGGAGATGTGTATCCAACGAAGGGGTCAGATCCAGCCGCGCAGCGATCACCAAGGCGGAAGGCATTTCACAGCAGCTATTGAAGGAGACGTCACACAGAGCAGAAAAAATAGATCCATGCGAATAGGGTATGTTCTCCAGCAACAAGAGACGACATCAGGAGGAGGGATGAAAATCAATGGGAAATGCAGCATCATTCGAGCGAAAACAATTGCAATTGGCTTACTGTTCCAACATATCCTCGAGGAAGGGATACAAATCAAGAGGGGAAATCAAGTCACAGTCATGTATCAGTCCACCCGCTTTCACCGCTTCATCACGAATACATTACGCATTGATACCATGCGATACGAAGATGAACTGCTGGAGGACCTACATGATCGATTACTCACTTGCATGAAGAAACTCGAGGGGAGAGGAATCAAGATCCGACTTCAATTAGCAAAAGAATCTGACCGACACATCCAAGAGGCAAAGGAGATGGCCAAACAAGCAAAACAAACATTTGCCTCGGGATGGGAGAAAGCGATTTATGACAGCGCAATGGAGTTCACCATCGCAGGAGAAGACAATCCTACATCAGGAATGGATAGATTGAAGAAGTGGGACTATATAATTCGACAACAGGCAATGACTGCGAGGATTCGAGCGGGAGACCTCACCTTGACGGAGAAATTCATGCTTGAAGTACATGTGGGCAGAAACATACTCGGGAAGGCGTTTAGATTATGCCAAGGTTCATTCACACGAACAGCAATTCAAGCAATCACCTTCTCAGTACCGACGAGGAAGAAGCTCTTTCAATGGGGGAAGACTAACTCATCATGCTGCCCCCACTGTCCAGACCGAGAAGAAACCTGGGGGCATATTCAGCTAGCATGTCGGCAGTTTCAAGCAATGATCCAACAAGCACACAATCAAGTCATGAAGAAGATCAAGGTAAGACTGCAGCAGAGTTGGAGGAAACAAAGGCTACAGGTCACTACATGGTGGGAAACTCCAATGCGCATCGTGATGGAAGCGATGGGGACTTTAATGCACCAAGAAGGACAATGGATACCAGACGGTTGCTGCTACTTTACAAACATCAAACGCATCGTCATCATTGAATTTGCAAGGACATCGGAATATGACGGAGTCGAACAAACAAGCCTGGAATGCCTGAAGAAGAAATTTCAGGAAAAAGAAGAGAAATATGCCGCTCTACGAGCAGCAATCACAGCTCTGCTCCCTGACCATGAAGTTGAACAAGCAACATTCATAGCAGGAGT